GTAATTACAACCTACACGATACCGTGTTTGTTGACAATAACCCACGTGCGCTAAAAGAAAACAAGGCGTTATATTTACGTGCTAAAAAAGGTTTGTGGTTATATATGGCTCGACGCACTCTAAGTTAGCGCAAAGGGTATTGCGATGCTTTGCCTCAAGTCTGCTCTGGTGACGTCGTGCACCAGTGGCGTAGCCAAGAGGAAGGTTGGAGGGAGGCATTATCCCCATCCCACGCAAATTTTCGCCCCCCGCCCCTTATCCACCTTTTTTCATCGCTTCATGCTGACATGATTCAAAAATTAAGTGATGCTACTATCCCAATATCATTCCTGGGCGTTTTTTCACTGAATAATGTCTCTATACGGAAGAACGTGTGATGCTGTTTGTCAATGCTTTGGCTTTCTGTATTGGGCAGGAATGTCGGCTGCGCGCACTTTCAGGGTGCTCGGCGTCGGGATTAATGCTGCAGCAGTGGTCATAACTGTACCCGCTGGAAGAGATCTCGCAGCAGTTGATCACTGCGATAATTTTAACTAGGCAGAGTTTTGTTTTAATCGTAAAAGCCAGACACATTTCCAAGGTCTGATAGGCAACGTTAAAGCATATGACAGTGTGAGTGTTCGTACGTGGGCTAAAATACACTCAAGCCGAGACTAACATTTTTATTGAACCTTCGCACGTTATCTGGTAACATCTAAACACACACACCACACACACACACACACACACACGCACACACACACACATGCACACACGCACACACACACACCATTGCTTGCGGGATACGTGATTAAGATGTAGAGTGTTTATTTGCATTGTGTACATGGCGAGCTTTTCTCAACACAAGACGAACATCTCGACGAAGATTTCGTCCTATATGTACGTCGTGACTGATACCTTCGAAGGTTCTCGCCGGAGCTCATTGCGACTGGCTATCAAGAGTCCTTTTTTCCCTCAACCTTAAAGGGGGAATGACTTTAAACTTCGCTGTCCAACCACCCGACACGCATGGGATCTCTCGACGTGCCGCCCACACGCGCTTCGGTCAATACATCTTTGTTGTCTCTCCCTTGGGGCGAGGATTCCGCTACGTGCTGGGACCAAAACCATTTCGATCGTCTCGTAGTACATTTTGCGGCGTCGTGACTGTATGTGCCTCGCCTCCAGCTAGTCGTAGAAGTTTCTGTCGTATTCTTCTTTCGCTAAAGAAACTGACAAGTGATCGCCGTTGGTGGCACACTCCAAGGCAGTCTATGACAAACTAGTGAGGGAACAACTAACAAAACTTAAATCCGATGCTGAGCGAGACCTGCCACGAACCACGTCATACGCAATCTAGAATTCAGGCAAGACACGTCGTTATCTGCTGTCCACTCCCACAATCATTTACCACATATCGTCGTTTACCACATAGATCGCTTCGAAAATCCCGACACGTATATAGTGAGAGCTGAAATCTCTCACTGGAATTTTATCTCTTCAGCGAGATGTCAATGCAACGTCCAAACATCGTGTCTATATCTGGTAGACCTGTAAGAAAGTATGCATTGACTAGTAAGAAAGACAGGCAGGCAACCTGTCAAAGTGATTTCTGAGGCGAAAATTTCGCTTTCATATGGCATATGCATATTCGCCTTTTTGTTTTTATACTTATTTCTATTACTAATAAAGAAATGCTAGACCTGCACCTTTCGATGGACGGTCTAGACGGAAAGACCTAAATCTATGTAATCGAAACGACTTGATGCGTTAAAAGTCAGGTTTCTTGTAGTGCTATGGTATCTGGATTGAATTTTGATGCTAAGTATGTTAAATTGAGGTTGAGTGAAAGTGAATTGATCGAAAATTTCAATGAAGAATCTTAAGAGAGTATGGTTCGGTTGAAATAAGCTCGGCGACTGACTTGCTTAAGATAACTTTTTTTGAAAAAATATGCTTTAGATGGGCTATCCTTTTGGTACTTCTTGAACTTTGAGGGAACAGTTGTAGTACCTTTCTTGCGCAATGGTTATAATGAGCGCTTTAGTGATCGGGAATCTGCCTCCATCTCATCTGATTACGGCACGTCTTCCATTGTAACTTTGCTTTCACACGGACAGAGTTCAGCAGATGCACCCGCAAACTGTGCACCCTGTGACGAGGTATCTCAGACAACCTCCTTTGAAGGTCCTTTACTGTCACCGTTTACTGTGGACGCACAGAAGTTTTCTCGATAAGTGAGAAATCTCCCAATAAGTGAGCCATCTGATTCGTGATTATATGGGCCAATGTCTCACAAAGAGTCTCAGTTAGACGTTCCATTGCTTTTTCCATTTTCTTGTCGATTGCTTCGCTATCAAAACAGAGAGTGACCCCTCCATTGCTGGTATGTGGTGGGCTGTAACACTAGCATAATCTAGATTTCGTGCATAAATTTCAGCTACTGCTTTCCTATGAGAACATTGCTTTCGTCTGCTATTTTAAGAATTTGCAGTTCACAAGACTTTGCAGGACAGCTTGAAAAGTCAGCATGAGCTTCATGACATAAGCAACAATTTTCATTGTTACCTTAACACTCGCTAGAATTGTGCCTTTCTCCACACACTCTGCACCTTACAGCAGGACCTGCAAGCTTTTAATGTGGGTCTATAACGCCAGCACTTTACGCATTGAAGAGGGCGAGGGGAGAAAGATTCGACTCGGTAAATAAAAGGCCACGCCTTAATTTCTGGTGGTCGGACGGACTCAGCAAATGTCACTATGACGGACTCGTTTGGTATTTTATTCTTTTCAGCAACACGTCCACACCAATAAACTGAAATAACACCTGCTGACAAAACAGTTCCAGAATTTCAGTTGGTGTCGTGTTGGCGTCGATGGCTCGGACTAGACCTCTGGAGCATGCTAAACGCGGTGGAATGAATGCGCTGACCGAATTAGATGCGAACATCGAGTGCTTCAGAAGAGGCTGCACGTGGGACTCAGATTGGGGAAAAAACAGAGTATCTCCCCTCGGCCGTACTGATGGACCTCGGTGATTGACTGTAAATGGACCGTCACCGACCACAATTCCGTCTGAATCACCTAGGGGTTCTTGATCAGAATGATGCCGTCATTGGTAGAGACTATAGTGCCAAAGAAACACATGATGTGCCGTTGCACAAGAAAACATTCACTGGCAACTCCTGCGGAGGAATTTAAGCAGACCATAAGAAGGTCCCTGGTTGGTCCGAACCAGGGACCTTCTCCTGTCTGGTCCATCCTGTCTGGTTCCGAACTTCACAAAAACACTTATCAACCAGCTATTGCGCTCTAAAAAACAATAAAAGCTCCATGAAACAAAAACACTGCTCGATCCTGGTCACTTCGTTCTTTTCGTCCTGTCATGAATCCCAGCATGTGAACTGATGTTTGTATTTTGCAAAATTTGACTTCATGAGCAGTTATTAAAAGCGAAGCTTTTCATAGCGAACTTGGTGACATTGAGCATATTTATCTATCTAGCCGCTTACGTTCGGATGCTCTTGTGGTCACCCCTTAACTTCGCGTGAACCAAAATTAGCATGGGAGGGTAAAATGGTTTGACGCCCCGCCGCGGTTGTCTATAGTGGCTAAGGTACTCGGTTGCTGACCCGCAGGTCGCGGGATCGAATACCGACTGCGGCGGCTAAACTTCCAATGCAGACGAAAGTGTTGTGGGCCCATGTGCTCAGATTTGGGTGCACGTTAAAGAACCCCAAGTGGTCGAAATTTCCAGAGCCCTCCACTACGGCGTCTTTCATAATTAAATGTTAGCTTTTGGACGCTAAACCCCACATATCAATCAAGATGGTTTGACAAATGTGACGCGCTGGTCAAGATGTGCATAATGTCACAATTCCGTCGCGTATGTCGTCACTTTCCGCCAGACAGTGGCACATACCCATGAACGGATATGTGCCGCTGCTGTATGTGCCACAGGTGATTAACACTCAGTATCTACTCAGGAACAACGAGAACACACATGGCCAATTTGAACAGTGGTAGCGTCGACCCAACGATGGCACAGAATAAATGGCAGTGTTGAGAAAAACCTGACATTAGCAGCGTTGACCCCCCGACGAATGCAAATAATGAATTTCAGGGTCCCAGCAGGAATTGAACCCAAGCATTTTGCGTGGCAGTCAAGCATTATACCACAGAGCTACACCAGGTCTCGGAACTACTTTCAAATAGACGCTAATCTTCGTGAAACGTAAACAGTGATTGCAGGGCTGCCTACCCAGTTTTTTAAACTTTACACATGCACTCCTTTGATACAGCCATCACGTTGGGTGAACGTCAATTGTGGTTAAAGGCCATGCGCTGAAGTTGATTTATGTAGCAGTGTCCAAGGCCAGCATCTTCGCGAGTATCAGCGTTTCAAATCAGTTTCTGGTGTTGCTAATACGCATGTTCTAGTTGGCATAGGTAAGCAAGTGCAAGCAACTGGTTGCATAAACATCTGCAAGTCTTCAACATGTCTCTGTGCGTGCAACTTCTGTACGTACATTTAGCGTCATTTCATGGCGTGTCGCTCAATAAAAAAAATTCAACACGGTCACCTTCCCTCCGCATGCTTCGCATAACGCCGATTCCCAGGTACGTGGGATCTGCCGAATTTTGTTTGTTTTGAAAAACCTGACAACTATTCGTGGACAGCCATTAGAAATTGCGAAGACCGTACGTCAGCCTGTTACGGGAGATAAAACAAAAAACTGTGCACCGGAATTAATTAAAAGAATAAAATTTACCATCTCGCGCAATTCACCATCCTGCTTGAAAAATATCAAGCGCTCTAATTCTCGTCTCAAGTATGTACAGCCCCGCCGCGGTGGTCTAGTGGCTAAGGTACTCGGCTGCTGACCCGCAGGTCGCGGGTTCGAATCCTGGCTGCGGCGGCTGCATTTCCGATGGAGGCGGAAATGTTGTAGGCCCGTGTGCTCAGATTTGGGTGCACGTTAAAGAACCCCAGGTGGTCAAAATTTCCGGAGCCCTCCACTACGGCGTCTCTCATAATCATATGGTGGTTTTGGGACGTTAAACCCCACATATCAAGTATGTACACATTCATTCTGAAAATGTCAGGTTTAAAGTATCAGACAACGTGTCACGTATCTGTGCTGACTTGTTGTTTGTGATGCCGAAAAAGTTCTGGGCCCTGGAGGCACGTGCAGTCTCTGTCTGCACAACTACCACCACAACTTGAGTAGATGTCTGTAGTATCACAGCAAGCGCATATGCACGCGAGTCGCGTCAGGAGGCACGGTTCGACCGTCGTTTCTTGATGCGTCGATAAGTGAATTCCGTAGTCCACATGACGCACACGAAGAAGGAGCCAACGCTGACCATGTGAAGCAGTCCATCGTATGACCCGATTTCGTCCTTGAAGTAACCTGAACAAAGGGAGGAAAAAAACAAACAATAAAAGACGTTGGATGAAAAATCGTGCATGGAGTCTAATGATCTATAATATACGCCAACTATTTAAGGGAGCATATTAATATAAAGCAAATGTAAATAATAGACTTCAACTTATTTCAAGACATAAGAAATCCGGTAGGATGCATGGCACCCATTCATTAAAAACAAAAAAAACACTCTGCGTGCCTTCGTAACATTATTTTATACTCTAATATGAAGCTAGGCATGTACTCCTACACATCAGTAAAAAAATAAATGTGAAACCTACGTTAATAATACTATTTCTTTCTTTTCAGTTGTCATGTGTCATATCGTTTTCAGTCACACTTGATAAGTTGATCCCGGGTATATCGAACTCGGAATTATTCGCTATATAGAATAGTCAATAAATACCTTTGACTTTTTCATGCAAAAGTAAGTATGGAACGGTTGCACACGTATTTCGAACTCCCGCAGAGCGTAAAATCCGGTATATCGAACGCCACGCCAGGCCGAAGCCCAAAAGTGAGCTTGTTGGGACAAATATCACCTATTTTTCGACCGCGTTATGACAAGCTTCAATCCCCCCTCGCACGCAGGGTGAAAAAATTGTGGTGTTATTCGTTGGCTGGCATGGCGTTTGTGAGTGCACCATCACACGATGTGCGATCTGTTGCAGGTTGTAACGCGTGAACACAATATTTCCAAAGGGGCGAATGGCCGAGGGCCACAAAATCACGTGAATTGCGAAGTGACACTGCGGCCTCGCCGCTGATGTGCGCACTCCTTTCCTCGCTTGCTTTACGCGAGATGGAATGCGGGCATATGATAATGTATATGGTTTCGCGAAGATATTTCTAAAGTTACCTGCAGCATCCTTAGCGTTGGTTGGCGAACAAGAAAGTTGAAATTTTCAGTACATGTTTCATAATTGACGTGTAAGTCGAGTCCAAAAGACAATGCGCTTCACAATGGATGAAAAAAAAGAAAAGGAAAATGAAGCGATTACAAGCTTCTCCTTACGACCTGCCTTTGCTGCATTGCTTTCGAGAAGTAAGGATGGGAGGTATGCCTAGACGATTTTCGGAGCACGAGTAACCCATTCAGGTAGTCCTATAGCTGCACATTGTAACCGATGCTCATGCGCGCCTGAATTCGCTGTATAAAACAATAATCGTAAAAGACGTGAAAAACGACAAAGAGAGAATCGTTTATGAAGCAGATATCATGGCTTCCCTGGGTGACGAAAATCGCGTTTCAGCGTGCCGTCCATACGTTTATCTTCTGGAGAAGTGAATTTGGTGTTGCAAACGCAAAGGGTTGATGTCGCGTAGACTAGGGTGCTGCGTTTTTATCACTCTGATGTGTGCCTTGTATACGATATTTGTATGCAAACGACGCGTCCAAATAGGTCAAGTGAAAATTGAATGTAAACATTCGACAGAATTCTGTGTGGTTGGGTATGAAGCTGGGAGAAGTCGGTTACGAAACGTCGGGTTTCTTCAAAACTTTTGGTTGGAGTCTAAATCATCTCCCATTTGAAAGTTGCGTTTTGTTTCCTCTACTCCTGTTCGTCTCAGCGTCTTTTTCGTCGATATTGTTTTAGAACAGTTATGCATATGCAAGACTTCGACATGAACCAACTAGCCCCAGTCATCGCATTTTGTGCTTTCTGTTTGGCACAAAGAAATTTTGGGAGAGGCACGTACCCGGTGTGTTGACCCCTGGCTACGTTACTGTCCTCCCCCTCCTTCTGGTGCTAAGTAATACATAATCGACGATACTTCGGGCGCAAATAGAACGAAGATGGATAACATGTAATAGGAAACACTCGTTCAATTTGCGCCAAAAGTACTAACTACCTTGATCCAGAATTCTGCTAAAGTAGTACGTGTACGCATATGCGCAGCCGTCAGCAAGCTTAACCCGAACGCTCCGCAGTGTGAACTGGTCTAATTATAATTAGACTGATGCCAGCGCCGGGAAGCTCTGGGTGCTGTCGCCGAAATAATACCTCGATATGCTTGGATAGTATATCAGCCCGCATTGGTAACATTTCGGCAACAGAACTAAAAGCTACGTGGCGATGGCGTCCATCAAATTGTTGCAGGACACTGCAGAATGTTCGAGTTAAAGTTCCTAACTATTGTGCATACTGCGGGCAATATATTACATATCTCAAGTCAGGGGGTGGTGAAGAAGGCATGGGCCTCCTTCCCCATACTACACGCGCAAACAAGTAGCCCATGTGTTTTCGGAGGGCTCCCATCAGGACACAGAATATGGGTACCACTCAAGCAAAGAGTTACACATATTGGCCGAAGTATATATGAGCCCTATAGTATATTGTTGCACGCTGACCGGTGATCTTTGGGGACGCCAGATAAGCGATGCCCATCACGAACCGGGTGATGCCTCCCGAGAGTCCCAGGTTCTCCACTCCGAGCTGGTCCGCGAGCACGGGACCGAACAGCACCACCACGCTGCCAGTTGCTCCAGCCGAACAGCACGCACATGAGCGCCGTCAGCGCGTAGCGGTCCGGCCGCATGGTGGGCAGCGAGGCGCACAACACTCCCGTGAGCATCGCGCTTGCACTCATCAGCACGCGTCGGTCGCAGAAAGAGCGGTCCGACAGGGCGCCAGCCACGAGCCGCGCGCACGCGTCGCCGATGGCCGTCACCGAGAGAAACACCGCGCCATCGCGACGCGTGAAGCCCTTGTCGACCGCGAGGTCGACCAGAATCATGAGCACCAGCAGCGTGTAGACCGAGATGGCGCACGTCACTGTCACCATGAAGAAGACGGGCTCCCGGAGGAAACTCCAGTGCGACGTGCCCACGTTTCCACCGCCGCTGGCTACCAGAGTCTCTCTTCCGGTCAACGAGTGACGACGGAGGCTTTCGACCGCGTCGTCAACGGCGATGACTTCCACTTCGGACACGGTCCACGGCTTCGCGACGGCACCATTTGCCGTGGTAATCCCAGTACTTCCGCTACTGCAGGCCTCTCCGTTTTGGATGTTGTAGGTGCCGTCCAAGCGCGAGTACGAAGGCACGTCGCCGTCGCCAATAGGTTTTCGCTTGAGGAAGCGTAATGAAATACCGTGGAACTGTACAGGCTTAGGAGAGGAAGGAAACTTGTATGTGGTCGTCGTGCCAGTTTGCGGCGGCTTGATCAGCACGTCCCTCGGAGATTTCGTGGCTCGACACTGTGGTGATGTCCGCTGGAATGTCGGGAGAAGAACCGTTTGCGTAAGAGGTGAAATCCTCGCAACTTTGCAATATCGACGTGCTCTTGAGCGACGCCTTCGGCCACGCGTCCTTGTCTGTGGGGATGTTCGTCTCGGTGGTCGCGCCGCCTTCAACCACGGGTCTTGTAGGTGCTATTAACAGTTGACACTGAATAATGAAAAGAAAACATGAAATTTATATAACGACAATCTGGTGCTGCGTACGTCTATCTGCACTTCTATTCATCTAGCCCTGTCTGCATTTAGCGAAAGAGCATATATATTGCACCAGCTGTGCACCAGCTAATGCAGCGTTACGTCATCATGCGTCGCAGTACTGAAACATGGTGCAAGGACGGCTATACTTATTGATTTTTCGTGGTAAAGCGAACAGCGCGAAAGCAAGAATAGAAACAAAGAAGTCGGACAAGCGCTGGTCTGAACACCCAAAAGACCAGGATTCAGAAAACCCTACTGCATGCTCTCGTCTGCAATGAGGCGGATTATGACCAACAAGCCCAGCTCTAGTGACTGTCTCTTCTGCTACCTCATCAGGTGCTAAGGGGGTGTTCGGGGTGTGCTCTCCTTCCCAATCGCAACCTTTTGTGATCGTTCACAGGCGCAGCTGAAAGCTGTTCATCAGCAGGAGTTAAGAGGCTTGCATAGCAAACAATAAGATTGGCGCAAATACAAAAGAGGAGACCTAGGGACGTCCGCTCATGTCGGTTAAAGCGGCGAGCGTGTATACATATAGTAGTTGGCATTCGGCAACTAAACACGCACCGAAACTCCTATAAAGTGCACGAGCGCTTTACACGAAGAAAACGTGCAAGAAGGACAGAGAAAATTATTAGCTATATGTAACAACACAACAAAGGCATATATATACAGGATTATACGGGCGAGAAAAAAGTGACACAAGTACTGTTTCTTTTCTAACAACAGGAGCTACGTAAAAACAACAACAAAAAAGAAAGCGCACAACGTTAAACGTTGCTGAACCCATACACCCTGCGTCTTGTGGTGTGTTCTCACCTCCGTCCTGATCCAATGAAAGTCCTTGCTGCGCAAGTGTATTCGTGATGCTGTACGGGGGAAAACACGCGAACGAAAGACCATTGATTGATTGATATTTGTTTGTTTGGTATGTGATTCATTGATATGTGATTGATATGTGATTATGAAGGTGCCGTAGCGAAGGGCTGCTAAAATTTTGACCACCTGGGGTTCTTAAGCGTGCACCCCAATCTGAGCCCACGGTCCTACAGCGTTCTCGCCTCCATCAAAAATGCAGCCGCTGCAGCAGGGATACGATCCCGCGACCTGCGGGTCAGCAGCCGAGTACCTTAGCGACTATAGGCCACTACGGCGGGGCACGAACGAAATACCACGTCGACTTCTCGTAGTTTGTTTGCGCATGTTATTTGCTTTAGGCACTGAGCAGCTCCCTTCGTTATATTGCCACATTACGCATGATATTCCTACCAACGCCTCCTTTTATAAACAGGCGTTGTTCCTAAAGCCGCTGCTCCAACTTGCCGATTTCACTGTTTTTGGCACAGCCCAATATAGCTGTTACATTTAACATAAACACTGAAGACGTACACGTGAGTACATTTATTGATAACTTGCACTTGAATCATGAACTAAGCTAGTTAAAGTACGCGCATAACATCAACATGGCGACTTTTATGACGTCAGGACAGCATTATCACAATGTGGTGCATCCAAATCAGTGTGATAAGAAAATGGCCGGAACTATTGGCTTCTGTGCATAGATAACGAAAGTACCTGCATGTGATGGTAAGATAACGCCAACGTGACATAGCAAGCTTCTCCTCCCACTCTAGTGCTGCCTCCTAGCATGGCTGTTTCATTGACCTCAGAGTGAAGGCATATACATACCTTGTTCCTTGCACTCCAGACTAGCTACAGATCCGCGCCGTAGATGTCCGTCGCCGCCTTCGTTAGCTGCCGTGGGTGACACCTTGGCGCTCGTAGATTTCGATGCCTCCCAGGGAGGGGCCTTGAATACGATGCACGCCGACACGGCATTGAGCATAAGACCACCCGTTATCAGGAAGGCGCCCGTGAAGCCGTATTCCTGTGCAGAATTGGGTATAGAAGGCACACGGAGAATACAACAGCGTACAAAACCGGGCTATACATGGTTGATCTTCATTGTAAAAGAAATTAACTGTAACATTGTTAATTGTCATTGTGTGTGATGAAGAATTAGATGGTAGGATAGCCTTCCTGAATTTACACGAATTTGCTTTCATTAGCTTCGCCAAGGTAACCTTGTAATAATGTTCTTTAGCAGCCTTCATTTTAGGCTGCAGATAGTTCTTTTTTATCGCTAACAGACTGTTGAAGCTTAATTGCGTTACATGCTGAGAACAGGAAGAAGGACGATAGCGAGGGGCGTGGTTGTTGCGATCTGGAGGTGGGTATTTAGCTGATGACCAGTAATCTTGGAACAGTGAGAAGGAAGTGAGTCTAGAAACCCTTTTTTTTAACTCTTGCCATTGGGCTTTTCGTAAGGGCTATTGTAAATGGCGCTGTGACTTTTTTTCCTGTAGGTTGAAAAAAAAACAGCAAACTTCTCTTTCGATGCTGGTATGCTGTCGGAAGAGAGCATGTATCTGACCTTCTACGCCAAGTATACGGAAAGCGACTTCCAATCTTGACGCAACGGTAGCGGCCACACTGAATTATCCTTACTTGAAACCTATTCATATTACGGCATCCACTTATCTGCCCTACGCGATGGTGCACACAGCCCCACCACGGTGGCACAGCGCTCGACGGCTCAACCCGAAGGTCGCGGGATCGAATGCCAGCTGCGGCGGCTACATTTTCGATATAGAGGCGAAAATATTTGAGGTCGATATGCTTAGATTGAGGAACACGTTAAAGAACTCTTGGTGGTCGAAATTTCTGGAGCCCTTAATGCGGCGTCTCTCATAATCATATCGTGGTTCTGGGACGTTAAACCTCATATATTATAATAATTATTATTAAGCATGGGATGTCCAACAATGTTGCTGCCTTTTCTATTTCAACCATTGCTGGCACCACATATTACTGGCGCCGTCTTCTTTATTGCGGTATTCCCGCCTCTTAACGTTATTCATTACAAAGTTTCCCAGCCGCAAGACCCATGCGGTTTTTAGTTCTTGCTCGCGTTCGCAGTTACACCATCGGCGTATGCAGGACCCGCAGAAGTGGCAAGACTGCATGGTAACGTGATTTTGAACCACGTAGTTGTACTTCTAAAATCGAGCTCCCTATACACAATGGACTCGTAGAACAAAGTTTTCCGGCACCCCTCACCTTTTCGCCGCTGGCGATGCCTCTTTCACAAGTTTTTTTTTTTTTTTTTTTTACTCCGCGGTGGCGATACCAACCAATCGTAGTGCCCCATTGTCTCGTTGACGTAGAGATCGCATTAGTGTTGTTAGCATCACTTTCCCGTTTGACTCGCTATGAGACGCAAGCATGTCGTTCGCTTTAGAGTCACTGCACACGTTACATTTAGATAGCCACAGCTGTAGCTTATACAAACTCTGGTTCAGTCGGAGGAAGAGCAGCGGAAACTGAAGGAGCACCAACTCTCACAGAAGCGCAAATGGGCGTGAAAAGGACGTGATGTCACTGCCACAAAACATATTGTTACGCACAAGGAGGACCAGGACGTATACGGCTGAAGGGGGCCGTTTACTTTGGTCGCGAAGAGAAGCGCCGGAGCGGCCAACAGGTTGATGATCGCAGTGTCGTCTTCTTCTTTCTTCCTCCAGCTTGGGGCAGCTAGCATGTTCAACAATCTTCGTTTTCTTCCCAGGCATGCGTAACAATATATACAGCCATGCCCCTTGCTCCCATCTTCGCCAGATATGAATATTCATACAAGAAGTTACCTCGTGTTAAACGAGTACGCTGGCACCGAAGCATTGAACCTGTCCCTGGTCTAATTAACTCAAATTAGTAGTTATCTTAATATCCTCGACGACGTATACGTATAGACTTGCAGTATGTTGTGCGCAGCCTGTCTGCATGATAACAACATCTTCGATTTTACGTCCCAAAATTACGACGATTATGAGAGACGCCATAGTGGAGGACTCTGAAAATTTTGACCGCCTGGGGTTCTTTACCACGCACTGATATCACACAGAGCATGCGTGGTCCTCTACCATTTCACCTATACCGGAATACAACCACCGCGGTTCGTGTCAACATTCAAACACCGCGTAACGACGTAATCCACCCTGGCGGACCAGCGTGCCTGCAAGAAAGAAAGAATGTAGTGTTCTAAGAACAAGTATACCCATATACCTGCAGCAAGAGATGCAGGATCGGTGGGAAAGCGAAGGCCGCCAGCGTGCCACCCGTGTAGTAGATGCCGTTGCCCGAGCCCCGATATTTCTTGAAGTACTTGCCGATGATCACGTCGTTAGTAGGCATCACGATGCCGTTGCCGATACCTGAAAAAAAAAAAACCGAGAGTGAAAATAAAGCACTTGAAAGAACGTTGTACCGGTGTTTCGGCAGTCCGGAAACGTGCATTTTCGCATGATCTGCGAATTATGGCTCGTCGCGTGCGCCGCTCTTCCAGTGATCACAAGGTCGTGGGCTTGATTCGCATATGCATTTCGGGGATATAAAAAGCATATATGCTCTTGCACCAAAGCAATGGTTAAGGAGGAGAGTAGGTGGTGCGGAGGGGATGAGCGGCCCTATAAACCACAGCGTATATTCATTCACCAAAATCTATCTCGTTATCAGACGCTACGCCCTCAATCGAAAATGTTCCCTTGCAGCTTTTTCCTTTCCTTCTTTCTCTCTTTCTTTCTTTCTTGCTTACATGTGATGAAAAAGAAGAAAACTAGGCCACAAAGCCATGCCATGACTATATCAAAACAATAGATGTGACAAACAACTGAGACAATTAGAATAACATAATAAGTTTCAGAGGCAACTATAGGTACCGGCTGAACACACACAAACACACACACACACGCACGCGCGTGCACACACACGCGCGCACACACACACACACGCACGCACACATGCACACTCGCACGCACGCACGCACACACACACACACACGCACACACGCACACGCACACGCACACACACACATACACACACACACACACACACACACACACACACACACACACACACACACACACATGGCGTGAGGCGCTTACCACTGCATATTCCCAGCAGCAGGAAGATGGCTGTCATGTCCCCGGCAAAAGCGCAGCCTATCGCGCTTATCGCCGTCACGATGCTCCCCGCAAAGGATAGCGCCATCAGTGGTACGTACTTCGTCAGTACTGCCGACCACAGGACCTGCGAAAGCCACACGAACCACGGAAACGCATGTTTCATTTATTTCATTAAGCTTATATATCAACAGATTACCAAGTGAAGATATGCTATGACTTCGGAGATCGCTCTCTGTGAAGAACCATAATTAAACTTCCCAGCATGAACTATAAGCCGGCGCGTAGCCAAGTGATGACCGGAAGTATACTTGACTGGCTCGGCACTGATGATTTTTGTGACATACTTACAAAAATCCTTACCGGAGAAAAGATTAATTTGGACAGTACACAGGCCAATGTTTTTCCCTTTAGGTTTTTGTGTTATAACTGTCGCGAAGAACACAATAGGTACAGCAGACGCTCATTCTCCGTAATGAAATGGCTCACCCATGAGCCATGCGATGCTCGTGCCGACGCTGAGCACCCAGCTGCTTTGTTCGCGTGTGGCGCCGAACGCACGCAACAGTGCCACGTAGATGACTCCCGTAGATCGGCGGATGAGGCTACTCCAGAGCAAGTTCCACGCGCAGGCCACGGCCACCAACCAGGATCGCCGGCCGTCTGGTCCTGGTATCGCCCGTCTTTGCTTCTCGCGCTCACGCTGTTGCTGAGACTGGGGCAGCTGCTCGCATTCCTGACCTGACTCCATGTCCGTGTACAGCTGGCCCTCGCCGAAAGGGAGGAAACAGTCTCTAAGGATTACGGCAGCCCGTCATCTTCTTGTTTTACTCATAGTCACGCGGGCTGGACGTCTTTCCAGAGCTGCGGGCTGCCCCTGCGAAAAGTAAAGGAGGAGAAACCGGTAAACCTGCGTGTTTCTGAATGCAATTTGCTGGAGCACGCTCCTTTACGGGGCATGGAAAATACGCGTTATCTTTATAGGCGTCCTGCATATCTTAGTGAATGCGAGGCTTTAGGAGATGACGGGTGTCTCTGACAGCCATCTCGAAGTCATGTAGGAATTTCCGCTGTTTACACCACGGTTTCGAAGCACGTGTTCTTGGAAGACAAGTGACCGCATTTAGACCGGAGGGGAACGCCAAGAAGACTCGCGTGCTTAGATTTAGGTGAACGTTAAATAAGGTGAACTCCAGGGAGGTCAAAATTACACACGGAGTCCCACACAATATTGCCTGTCTGATTAAACATATTAAAGCGTGAAGCATCACATGAGGACAAGCAAACACACACAAAAAAGGAACGATTTGACAGGACAACCGCGATAAATTAACCATTACCGAAATCAGCCAACTTTCAACTTTATCGAGTCTCATACTTAACTCATATCGTGCTTTTGGCCCATAAACCTCCGGGTATTATTGTTCCGCCTTTCTTCGAGACGTAAATATTTGGGCTACATGCATGCTTTGATGTCACGTCTATGCAAGTCATTCTTGTAGTCCGCGCACAATTTACAAATGGTAAAACTTATGCATTACATTCCAGTCATATCGTGATGCCTTTATTCGAGAGTTTGATGAAAATAATGAGAAGCGCTTAAGAAATCCCGTCACGTAAAGTACATTCATATCGCACAGCCATGCACCCAACATCCATATCATCAAGTTTGACACAGCTAAAATGATTACGTGATTTATTATGAATGGAGACTGCAGAACATACATTTACATGTCTCCTCTGAAAATACATCTGCGCTATGAAATATCGGTGAGGCACCTCGCTTGATGATAGACATTTGATGCAAAAAAAAATGTGAACCAGAATTGTGATACGAGAAGAAACGCAAAACTGTGAAATGATAATAATAACCTAAAATGATATTTGCATAAACATATAAACTATCCGGTGTCGTGCAAGGCAAAACAGAAAGGAAATACCCTTACGTTCATGACTATAGTGGTAAAATATTTGTTCAGAAATGCACCCCAATCACGTGCCGTACAAGTATTGCATTTCTGCCCCGCCGCGGTGGTCTAGTAGCTAATGGCTAATTCCAATGAGAGAGCAGGAGCACTCAAAAGCACGCTTAAAAGTGCTCTCTTTAGAGCCGGCGTGTTTCAGTGGTCTAACAGGTGCAGCACTGTCGTCCATTGGCAGAGCGAGAGTGCTTTTGCTGTGCCGAGAGCAGCCAGCAGCAGTTTGCAGTGCTCCCGCCTGAAAATCGGAGTAGGCGCAGTACTACGAGTCACGTGGCCCTTCAACGTCCCAGTTTCCGAATTTTTCTTCAGCCGGCGAGCGCGGCGGGGGGGGGGGGGGGGGGGATTTTAAAAGAAAAGAATAGAAAAGTGAGCCCTGTAACTGTTTCTCAGGGGGAGGACACCTCAGCAGTAGCTCATGAGGGGTGGGGGTAAAGGAGAGATTAAAGGGATGTGATTAAAATGATATGATTAAAAGGTAAAGAGATAGAGAGAGAGAAAGGAGGAAGCGAGGCGCAGGGACAGCGAACGACGGAAGTAAGGAGAAAATAGGAAAGATGGAGACGGTCGCAGGAGTCCGAGGACGGGGCACCACTCGACGAGAGCTCTTGTCGCCGTCAGGAGATGGCATAGGGCGAGTCCAGTCGGCCAGAGCTACGCTGCCGTCGAAGATCGGCGTCAGGAGATGGCGTTGGGCCAGCCCAGTCGGCCAGAGCTACGCTGACGTCGGAGATGGCGAGGGCACAACCGATCGGCACGAAATCCAGTGAGCGAGTGAGCGCGGCGGCAATGACAGCAACCATGTGTAGTTTGACACCGCTGTTATGGTAGCCACCATACCACTGTTTAGTACGGATGACTACGATGACAGCTGGACGTCTGACGAATGGGTCATTGCACAAACATACTAGGTATTCGGATAATGAAGAACATGTGGCTGACCGATTTCACGCGTATTTTGCTTCTGCCCTACAAAAAGTATGCCGGGGCTTGGAATGTTTCGGTCACATGGTCTCCCTACTCATCACCTTCTCACCTGCCCTCCGGGAGCGCGGCGCATTCCAGTGGCAGGTTGAGTGGTCCTGCTCTCAGTGCTCTGCCCCCCCCCCCTCCGGGCCACTGCCCTGCCCCTCTAATCCTGTTCTCTCAATGGAATTCGCCATAGGGTGCTTGGCTGCTGACCCGCAGGATGTCGGAAGGCGAAAATGCTGTTGGCCGGTGTGCTCAGATTTGGGGGCACGTTAAAGAACCCCAGGTGGTTGAAATTTCCGGAGCCCTTCATTACAGCGTCTCTCATACTTACATAGCGGTTTTGGCACGTTAGACGCCACATATCAATCAAATCAAGTATTTCATTTCTGATGAGACCAAACTGCGCGTGGAAAGCCGCCCCAGGAAAGCATACACAAGTGCAAGGGCTGTTGACCGTGAAGTGCTTGAATACACGGAGGAAATGACCGTGACATCTTTTAAGCCTACCGAGATATACGCTTGCCTGTGCGTAGGCGCGTAAGCTGCCATACATTACAGGGCTGCACAGATTCGTACAGGTGAGGCGAAATAACGTCATTACAACAGAGATAACAACTGAGAACAGCACTCGGTGCGTGCGCGCAGATATATAGCGGAAAACGCGGCTGTTTCACGGGCTCAGTCAGGGGTGCATCTGCAGTGTGCAGCGGGAAGCTATGGGAATAAAACAGGACAACACAAGCGAAAAGGCTGCGTTCATATTTCTATGGTGGGTCATTGCTGGTGACCACCTTTATTTTAATAGCTTAGGAAAGGTAAGCGTATATAAAGGGGTGCGGAGATTCATCATTCGATTCACACTTTTCAATAATTGTGAAGGGGAAGTTTAATAAAGGATTCGTAAAATTGTGCCTGCTATCAAGGGGAACGTGTGTCTTTATGCAATACACGTCATTCTAGTTTTTTATTTGTTTGTTTTGTTAGGTATATTCGAGTTATGGGGACTGCTGCATTTACCACGTGTGCTTGGGCAGCAATGCAACCTATTCAAAACAATTTTTTAAGCTATGGGTAAACACGCAAAGCAGAAGTTCAAAAGAGAAGTAGGCTTGATGAGATCAATAATCCTTGAACTATATTTGTCGCTGAAGCCAACTGAAGTTTCGGCCGGTGTGTCTTCTTCAGTCGCTGCCTCGAAGACAATACTACTATTTGATTTGATGAATTAGTATGCGTGATACTATTTATCACGTAACACACACACGCACAGAGAGAGAGAGAGAGAGAGAGATATTCACCTGCGTGCGTGTGTTTATGCAGCGCACAACGGCTGCACATAGCCATAACACCAAATCGGGCTCAGGCACGTTGACCCGCCACGGTGGTCTAGTGGCTAAGGTACTCGGCTGCTGACCCGCAGGTCGGGGGATCAAATCCCGGCTGTGGCGGCTGCATTTCTGATGGAGGCGGAAATGTTGTAGACCCGTGTACTCAGATTTGGGTGGACGTTAAAGAACCCCAGGTGGTCAAAAAGTTCCGGAGCCCTCCAATACGGCGTCTCTCATAATGAAATAGTAGTTTTGGGACGTTAAACCCCACAAATCTATCAATCAGGCACGTTGTTAGATATGTCACAAGGACAAGAACAGTGTGACAGTCTGGTTGCTCAAAAAAATAGTGATGGTGACGGAGGTGAACAAACAAAATAGCACAAGAGAGGTATATTGATACATCCACAGATAATTTAGCGCTCGTGTCAAGTTCGCAAAAAACTACCTTGGAAGCTCCTTGCCCAATAACGAGCGATGTGGAATACTCCGAGAAGAAGAAGAAAAGAATATGTGTTTCTGCTTTCACTGAGTCCTGAATCTCCACGCATATTGACACCTTTTAAGGAGACCCATTGACTCCTTCGGAGTCACACCACTCTCCGACGAGAGTATGAGAATCTGCGAAAAAAGATCAAGTCTTCTATTAAAAAAGAGGCATTGATACGTGACAATTGGCGTATCAGGACCGAGGGCGAGTAAATTCAGTGTTACCCGTCATCTACCAGATGGTGGTTTTGCTGCTCGGGCTCATTGTCGTTTAAAAGCTGCGACCATTTACATAAAAAAATAAAAATAAATGGTGGAGGTAGCATGCTCTACCAACAAACTTCATCTTGTCAATTAAAGTTAAAATATCATTAAAAGTGTCATCTAATTGTGTTGTGTGAGTTAATTAATTTTACAAGTTCTCTACCTAACAGATCCAGAATGCCTGGTACGATGCACGCTCGCAATGCGGTGCAGTCAATATTCAACGGAAATGGCAGAGTCCTCAAAGTAGCCTGGAAGACAGCTTTCATTGCTCTCGGTTGGACTTTTCCTCGGCTCATTTAATGGTAACAGAACCAGCTGTACAAGCACGTATGCATAAATGACAGGCGCATCGTGCTCTGTGTGGAACAGACCCTCCACCATTGTTTATTCCTAGCTGGCCGTCGTTCCTCTCCATCTTCCCTCGTTCTTTCACTCACTTTAACTCAGCGACGAGAGAGATTGTCAACTTAATTGGACAAACCACCTTTCGAATATTTCAGAGCACCCCCCGCTCCTTTACTCCCACTGATTTTTCAACTGCTTTTGCTTCACTGGCCGGGATGCCATAATGATTTGGACTGTTTCCAAGAATATTATTTTATGAGTGTCTCTATTCTATTAAAGATGCCTTGCGGCAATTTTTAAGCGTTGTTAGAAAACGCTGCCATTCACTTCTAGAGGCTCGTGAGCACACGTGACGCAAACGTTATAACGCAGCGCACAGCGTAGAATTTATTATTATTTCTCAACGTCAGCTATAGAAATAGCTCTCTCTTCTATCGAGGAATGATGCCATAAACCCCAATTGCCGCAAGCCAGAGTCCACGGCCATTGACTGATTTGAGCACCATGAATTACGTATTTATTGCGGCCGCAGCAGTATACGCTGCGACATACCCGCTCACGATTGCAATGAAAGTAAACCGCGTGTTCGAAGAAATAAAATAAGATAAAATAAAGTTCTCAAGGTTCTAACCCGTGAACGGACGCATCATCTCAAAGACTAGTCATCCCCCCCCCCCCCCCCCCCCCCCTATGCGAAGCTTTATTCGCGCTCGCTGCTACGAAAACAGGGAGATAAAGCGCTCGAAGCGTGAGACAAATTCTTGTAACTCTGCTCACGCTTGATGGCTTCAAAAAAAATGCGGCAGTTCATTCGTGAAGCAATGAACTGATCTAGCTAATATTAATAACGTGTGGTATTTTTCATCCAGAAACTACGATATGATTATAAGAGACGCCGTGTTGGAGGGATCCAGAAATTTCGACCATCTGGTGTTGTTTAGTGTGCACTGGCACTGGGTGCACGTTAAAGAACCCCAGGTGGTAAAAATTTCCGAAGCCCTCCACTACGGCGTCTCTCATAATCATGTGGTGGTTTTGGGACGTTAAATCCCACAAATCAATCAAATCAATCAAGTGTGCAGTGATATAGCACAGTACACGGGCCTGAACAATTTCGCCTCCATCAAAATGGGACCGCGGTGGCAGGGATCGAACCGGCAACCTTCTGGTCAGCAGCCGAGCATCCTATAGCCATTGATACGCCGAGGTGGAGGAACTGCTTTAATAAAACCGTTTGATAATTGCTTGGAAAAATTCATCGGGACCCCTTCAATGCATATAGTCAGTTTCGATGCGCATTTCTAGAGTGGATTTAGTTTCACATTTGGGCTGTCGTGCTGTGCCTCACGGTATTAATGCGTTGTATTTCTTTCCACGTTACAAGTTTCCAGAACAGCAGCAACAGGGTAACAATAAAATAAGATAGAGTCTGCGCGAATCGCCCGTGCACGAGAAAGTGTCTGATAGTTGATATGTGGAGTTTAACACCCCAAAACCGCCATATGACTATGAGAGACGCTGTAGTCGAGGGCTCCGGAAATTTTGACTACCTGGGGTTCTTCAACGTGTCTGTGCACACGGGCCTCCAGCATTTTCGTCTCCATCAAAAATGCAGCCGCCGCAGCCGGGATTCCGATCCCGCGACTTGCGGATCAGCAGCCGAGTACCTTATAGCCACGAGACCACCACGGCGGGACACGAGAAATTGTCTTGCGCGATACAATATATGCATTCAGTCCTCACTCCTCGCAGCAAACTGCAAAATTGTTAGGGGCCGGAAGTTGCCGTAGGACTCCAACTCTCTAATAAAATGATGCTTGCGATACCGCATGAGTATACTAAAGTGACGATTTACACTGAAGAAGCTTTCTGTTGCGTATAAACAGGCTGCCCCAGATGTAAGCGAGTCCTTTTCTAATAGCTACCAAAAGGATAAAGAAAAATATTTTCTGGTTAGTCAAGTTATTAGTACGAAACATTGCGCAGCTAGTGGAAGAATACAGATCCCCGAATGCTACACCATCTTCTATTCGTGTAACCCCGCACTGTCACATTCTTTTTTGCTTTTTTTTATTTAAGCTTGGCTAGCATTAGCTAGAGCGGGACTTTCTTTTTTTTTTTTTTCGCGAGGCACGAATACATGCGTTACGCAGCTGACGATCGTGGATGTGGACAAGAGGATCAACAAAATTCGTGGCTGCATGGAGTTCATAAAGGCAGGGATATAATGAATGTCTAAATCACCGGAAGTATTAGGCGTTGAGGCACTTCCTGTGTTGGATTCAGGCTATACAACGTTCAAGATTGTAAACTATAGAGAATCTCACTCCCGCAAGATCTACCACTCCCGCAAGAGATCTGAGCCAACCACCCATCGGAAAATAATTTTTGTCGAAAGAAAAACGAAGTCACAGTCGCGCACGGAGCTCACGTTTCCACAAGTATCTCCTCCGTCGCGTTCCCGACCGGCCGGCACAAGGTGTAAGCCACCAGTGTTGGCAGATAAAAGACGCGTCGTATAGAGGCAGCACGACCGCAACAATAACTGCGGCTAGCGCGGGTAACGATCGATACAAAGGGTGGCGATGACAGGACTCGCTATTGTGTCGTTCTATTATGTTCTAGTCACGTGACTACGTATGGGGAGACGGTATCGATGCCGTTGCTTTGTCAATGAAAATGACCGGTATCTACCATGCGTATGACGTCACGGCGTAAGGCGCGTTCCTGCCCATACGCACGTACAATGTTTCGGTACGTACTGCGTACAGATAAGTATCGGCTATTCTTCAACTCGACTTGGCTGCTGAGCGATTATAGGGACCTCTAAACAATCGATTACAATAAAAGGAAAAAGCAGACATTGTGCTGGCCTATATCTCGTTGCTATCTCCTTGATGCGTATTTAAGTACGTCTTCGAGAGGGCGTGGCGTCCTTGACCTGCTTGTTAAGCATGATTACTCTCTCTTCGTTATCCGCATGAGACCGTGTTCGAGGTTACGTACTTTAGACAAAACAGCGATGATAGCACGATGACGCCGATGGAGTGCGATATCATAAGCATGGTGATTCTTGTCTCATTGTCATAGGCTATTGGAAGGGGCGTTGACTGTAAGAGGCATATAGAAAGAGCTATAGGGACCAGTGCATATGTGCGAAGTATAGTAACTTTCTATCAAACATTTGTATTGTTCAAGCGTCTCGAATACTCACAAAGGAAGGAAAATATACGGTATATAGAACCGAAAGTTGGGATTGATTGATTGATTTGTGGGGTTTAACGTCCCAAAACCACCATATGATTATGAGAGACGCCGTAGTGGAGGGCTCCGGAAATTTTGACCACCTGGGGTTCTTTAACGTGCGCCCAAATCTGAGCACACGGGCCTACAACATTTCCGCCTCCATCGGAAATGCCCCGAAAGTTGGGAGAGTTCGTGGCTATTTGTAGTGAAATTTCAGCGTGAACAAAAGACAACGACTAATTGAAGTGACCAAGCTCTAGCTTTTTTTTTTTTTCTTCATTTTGTTCATGTCTTTCGTTTGCTCGCGCTGTAATCTCCCTACGAAAGACAAAACAGGCTAAAACAAATCTACTCTTTTTAAGGTCGATGTTCACAGGCGTTCATTTCCCCATATCTAGCGTGTATTTCCTTTTGTTGCAAAACTACGCACGCTATACTTCTATGCGAAAAACGCCACGTCACTCTGATAAAAGCATGCTTGCAATCTCAAAGTACGGGTGCGCCGCGCGTTAAACAAAGGAAAAGCACTCGAGGTAGATGACTCCAATAGAGATAGATAGATGTGGGGGCGAACGAGTGGGGATAAGGTCGCACCGAGTGCAGAGATCTATGAGCTATAAAGGAAAAAAAAAGTTCTGAAATAGGAAATGCCAAACAACGTTACTAGAACCGGGTCCCAAGCTCATAAAATTATACTGGACGACTCCACCCCCTTTCTTCTTCGCCCATCTGCCACCCCGGAAAATAGACAGATAAGTAATCATAAGCACTGCATATATCACAAGCGTATGCTACAAGCAGAGTGAAAATGGGAAAGGGTGGTATTCCATTGTCACGTATAGTTCTCATACAAGATTACCACGAGATCGAATGGTTAACTACACAGAAAAAAATTAATAATGGAGACAAAAAGTTGTATGAGGTTCATGCCCTTACGCTTGGGCCCAGTAAACACTTTCGAAGAGCGCACACTGTAAAATTTATTCTTTTTAAAACATGTAAACATCTATCTACCTTCTATCTGTTCGAACACGGATACGTTTGAGAGGTCGTCTATCAAATATATGTTCAACGAATTACGTGGTAGAATATGCTCTTTCTCGTACTAAGAGAAACTTGCGGCAACACGCTCCTCTGGCACGTCAAAATTATCGCAGTATATAGGCTTGCAGCTATGGAATTCATTTATGTATGCATAGTTCACGAGGATACACCGAAAATCAAGCAGTAACAGCTGATGCGTATGCACACGACATGCCCGTGTGGTGTGGGTTGTTTACTGAGAATAACGTGGGGTGTTTTCGAATGGTATGGGGTGTTTTACTGATAATAAATAATAAGAAAGATGTTTTTCGGAACCTTCAAAAGTGCCCCATCCCCCCCACCCACTCACCCCAAAAAATGTTCTGGCTACGAGCCTGGCACGTAAGCATGTGCCGTCAACGAAATAATTTTATGAGGTTAGGAGTAGGGAGTAGTGAGGAATAAGAATGGGAAAAGGATTATACTATGTAAAGGACTGAGAATACGTATGAAAATATATAAGAATATAGGAATAAATAATCACCTCCGAATTCACAAATTGAATGATGTTGGAGGAGCTTGCTCGATTGCTTGCAGGAGCATGGGACGTTTCTTGGAGAGACCATTTCTGTTGGAATGCTTGTTAACAGGACGGCGCATGATGTGTACGTCGAAGGCAGCGTTATCGGGCACGTTCCGCGGCCGCCACTGCACAGTGTTGGCCACGTCAATCGGCACCCTAACAATGGCATCTCTAACGAAAAGGACGCATTATACTTTACTTATATCTGAGGTTTCACGTCAACTTGGCTCTTGCATTAAGGTTTAAAAGAGGTACAGCGACAAACCGAGCATGTAAACGAGCCACAAAATCTAGTCGTTGCAAAATTTAATAGAGAAGATTGATTGATTGATATGTGGGCTTTAACGTCCCAAAACCATCGTGTGATTATGAGAAACGCCATAGTGGAGGGCTCCGAAAATTTCGACCACCTGGGGTTGTTTAACGTACGCCCAAATCTGAGCACACGGGCCTACAACATTTTCGCCTCCATCGAAAATGCAGTCGCCACAGCTGGCATTTGATCCCGCGACCTGCGGGTCAGCAGCCGAGTACCTTAACCACTAGGCCCCCGCGGCGGAGCTAAAATAGGAGAGACACACTGGTTCTGCTTGTGGGGCTCACGTTAAAGAACCCATAATTGCCGGAGCCCTCCTGTATGGCGTCTCTCATAATCACATGGTGGTTTTGGGACGTCAAACCCCATATATCATTCAATCATCAATGCTTGTACGGCTGCTTAGCCTTTCATACAGCTATGCCCACTTTCATGACTGAACACGCATTGCAACAATACAGCATGTGGTATCACATTCTGTACAGGCATGTGGTACCGCAACACTTTCTGATGCTTCAGTGTGTGTGTTTTGCCCTACATTCTACTAAATCTGTGTTGGAAAACGTAGGCGTAGCCAGAGTTTCGAAGGGGAAAAAGGGGTTTGGTTCCCTCCCCCGAAAATCTTCAATTTAGCGCATACATATATGTGCACATCATCATTCATCATCAGCCTGACTGCGCCCTGTTGTGACTCGGGTGCGTGGGTGCCATGCTCCCTCCCAAGCACTCACTCCCTGTATATAGATATAATAAAGTTTTAGGGGCGAAGCTCCTTAAAGCGGCACCCGTTCAATCCTCGTAGTAGTGCGTAACATGTTTTAAGCTTTGACCTGAAAGGTGGTGCCGGTGGGAAATTTCTCCATGCATTGTTGAACAATAAAAAATTAGCAGCGTGCGCGCTAACTAAAAGCCGAATTCTCCTGTCTCTCATTTCCCATTAGCAGCCATTGGTGTGTACATTGAGCACTATCTGACAACAAATAGTTGCTACGTTATACTCGCTGGCCGTAACCTCCTTGGTTTTAGAAAGGTTTAGCAAGCGTTGGGCCGCAGTGCCATGAATACAATGAACTAGTATATACCGTGAACTCGAGGTGGTTAAAGGTGGGAAGTAGACCCGAAGCGCAAGCCGTAAGAAAGTGTGCGTGTGCCACCTCTCGTTTAGTCCTTGGAATGTCCGCTGGAGGGCGGTGCTTCTATATGCGGAATATATGATGAAAAGATGCGTGATGGTGGTACTTAGAGTGTTGACTAGGTGGACGAATGGACACACAGACAGAAACATGGACGGACGCACGAATGGCTGCACGGACAGATGGACGCATGGACGGACGCACGGATGGACGTGCGGACGCACGAACAGACGCACGTACGGACGGGCGGATGGACGCCTGGACGGTCACACAGACGGACGCATGAGCGGACGGAAGCAAGAACGAATGGACGGACGGATGCTTCGCCCCACTTTCCATCATTCCCCCGTGGGCCGTGGATATGCTGCCATTTCTCTCTCTCTCTCTCTCTCTCTCTCTCTCTCTCTCTCTCTCTCTCTCTCTCTCTCTCTCTCTCCTCTGGGTGCCAGGCTGGCCACGAGTAGCATAGTCGGGCAGCGTTCCCCCGTTTTGAAATCAATCCCGATGCCCTTTGCTCAGAATGAGCGTCCAGCACCGGGAAGCGACAAAAGGATTGGAATGTGGCAACTTCGACTGTCCGTTAGCCAATAAAGGCGCGTGTACACCAGAGAGACACGACACTGACATAACCCCGACGGAAACACGAGGCAGACGCAAACCATCGGCCGACGAGTCACCCGCCGACGAAGTCGCCAGTCCCCATGGTCGCACTAGGCCGACGACGACGACGACGCCTCAAAAGACAGCATTTCATCGTAGTGTAACATGACAGCATTTCATCGTAGTGTAACATGATGACTGTCACATCGTAGTGTAACATGATCGCAGTGTAACACGTTGGGTAAGAGAATTGAATGTTGAATGAGTTCATAAACGATTCATAACAAATTTTTATCATTTGGGGCACGAAGACTGCCGCATTAGACTGAAGAACCAGCTTTAGGGCAAGTTGTCATCCGTCATCTGCTCTACAGATGAATTGCTGTGCGCCGCATCTCGGAGGCAATGCTTTAGATCATATGGTTCAAAGTAGGGACAAAGATTGCGCCGCTCGTAATTTTATCGACAAAAACATTGTAAATTTTAATTTAACGTACTATACTTCAGTTTTGGCATTTGCACTGTGATACTTGTGTGCAAGTATCCACAGTGCTGCAAACATATGGCCGTCACAGCAGCTCCATCTGTGTGTCAGCAATGGAGAGGCACCACATATTAGAAGTCTCAGTTGTCTACGTGTAAGAGTGAATTCAGATACTGTAGAATACCGTGTTCAAAATAGTTACTCCTATCTGCTAAAACAGCCTTTCTTCACCAAATGCGGTCACGTTTACTCGCGTTTGAAGCTTATTGCCGCTGTTCCGTTCCGATTTCTAGATTTCTCCACTTATCAGCGCATTCTCGAAAAGCTCTGATTTGTACCACGAATATTGTCGCTAAAAACAAAATAATGCAACATGTTTTTCTATATTACTGTATGATGGCCTTCGGTTGTCTATTTACGAGATTTTTAAGAAAAATCGAAGATGGGTTTTTTTTATTATTAAAATTTCAGTGGAGTACACTTTTGCCAATATGAGAACTTTGAGGCAATATATAAAAATTTACATTTGCCCTACGGCAGCAATAATTTATGTACCCGATGAACACACTATATTCTTGAAACGTGTCAAGTTTGAAAACGCTGCTTGCATTACTTTCGGAGAAAAAAAATGAGGAATACGTAACTTATTTTAAACTGTCGCAAAATTAGACATATTTAAAAGCTATTTTCTTAAGGTCTACAAACTTGAAAACGCATAAATTCATTCTTCATTAGACATGCATTTCAGGTAAAAGATTATCTTCCTTGAAACAAAAATATTTGTCTTTTCATAGCATCTGCAATTTTCGAAAATGACAGGTGACGAAATTGGTGCCTCCGTGTTGGTGAAGTTTGATATTTTTTTTCTCGTAAGTTATGCCGTTAGTCATAAAACGAAGTTGGCTTTCGGGCTACCTGGTGAGAGGTGCACGAAATATAAAATACTCAATGAAATCTAAAATATCAACTTTTGGACCCCTGTCGATCTCTCGTGGAATGACCCAGTGGACATAGGCCGACGACAAGAGAAGAGACGCTCCTAAAGACAGCCCGCAGACCAAAATCGGTGTCGTGTCTCTTTAGTGTTCGCTAAGAAATGCTTCCCATTTAAACAAAAGAGGGGAATGCTACAACACGATATGGTGGCACCGAATATCATCTGCAATATAGTCTATACGGACCTTCAAACAACGACAACTCTAATGGTGCGTTCTACACTCTCTTCAAAACTTTCCACCGCAAGTGTGTCTTCCTGTGACCTCACTGTAAATAAATGAATAAATAAATAAATAAATAAATAAATAAATCAAATGATGCATGAATGCTATCAGGTCTGGCAATGCTCAATTTGAGTTGAGAAAATGTCGCAGCATCACTTTTTTTTTATATTACTATTTATAGCATCATGTTTTTAATGAGTTGCATTACTTTCACAGCACTTTACAGACAATTAGTCTGCCTGTATTACGTCTATTTTCGCTTTGTACTTCTGTATTGCACATGTTCGCATTTTCTGCCCTATTCTGTTTAGCGGAGAAATATTCTTCCCCGTTATAATGCCTTCTTGAGATTAGCAGTATGTTTAAATAAATGAATAGTACTCGCATGTTGAATGCCAGCTAACTGCCTCGTATGCATATGCTTTACTTACCTGTCCTACTGTGAGATGTTCCAGGTACTATGCGCCTAACGCTGCTCTGGTAGCATTAGATAGCCCGTCTTGAGCGCGCGACGGCATGCTTCGCATAGAGGTCGAACTTTTCAGACAGATCGAGACCACAGAGAGGTACGGAACGTGGCTACGAAATTAACTAACAACGTGGTGCGCTCCCGTTGCCTATTGAGTATATACCAATTGATGATAGGCGCCAGACGTCATTTTCTCATGTCTCCTATCAGAATAAACGCGCGTGATGCGTGCCCGTGTTATCTCTGACCGGAAATCTTTCGTCGCGGAATGACGTCTGGCACAGGAAATGTCTCGAGTGCCGCCGAGTGATTTCGTTAGAATGACGTGCGTTGCAATCACGTGAAAGGAGTGATACGGAAATCACAAGCAGCACAGTTCTTACTGCTCCAACCTGTCTTTGCTCATGCGTCTGCACGACACGTGTGATGTCATGGCTTCGTGACCTATCCACGCACCCTTGTTTGCATGCATAGGGCTGCAAGTGAAAATAATCCATATTGTCAGGTTTATCTGCATCGGGTTGTTTGATTTCTTTTTCTTTCTTCAGGAAAGTAGTGCGTGCATTGTAGATGAGGTATATACGGGTATTTGCCGTGGTTGATCAGTGGTTATGACGAACGTGCTGTTTTCGTGGGAGCACGTGCACACCTGGTTCGATTACTTGATTCAATAACCGCATTCCAGTCCGACCTAAACTCAGTAAGCCTATCGTATATCCTCTATACATTTTATCAAAGACACGTGGCCTTATTTCTCTACTGTTCCTTGGTGACATGGTTGTGAGGTCACAGATGATTCAAGGCATCGTGTGTATGCGAGTTACGTGGGTAAGGCTACTTTTATATTCTCCTGACATTGATCTATATGCCGGTGCACGTTACATCCACTCTCGCTGAATATCTTGCGCGAACTACGTGCCTCCGAG